ATCTTGGTCTCTCAGCTCATTGTGCTGAAATAGGCCCTCTTGTTTTTCTCATCTCCAATGTTTCACTATCAGATAGAGGAGATGTCCTCTCTTCAGTCCGGTTGTCATGGCCACTGTCTTATTGTTGTGGCAGCTATTTGTGTCTCATGTTGTGTTCAAAGTGATTTGCAATTATTCCACCTTTCAAGGGGTTATTAACAGCTGTGAATATTGAGAATATTGAGCACATAAAGCAGAGCATTCCTTGAAATATCCAAGGCTCACTGTTCTGTTGCATGAACGAAACAATTGTTAGTTATAGAAATAAAAAGAAATACAGCTCGTGTTTTCAATAAAGAGGAATGACCAGGGACTTTGTCTTTGAATTATAAGTGTTCTACTTACTCCTATACCTTTTGAAAAAAGGATTGTCATATTGTACCCGAATATTGATTTGACCCTGGCCAAATATTATGTTGGTTTCAAGGCGTTCCTCTACTAAATGAACTGTGTGCGGGTTCAGGAGAAGGAATCAATAAATCATCATGTCGTTTTACAGTTCTAAATATAGAGCACTGATTAACTCCTCAAAATCTAAACATGCCTTGATGCATTGAGTATCTCATTAATGAATTGACAGTTGAGGAACTGAGGTCTGGCATATGCTAACTAGGTGCTACTAGTCAACTGAATCTAAAACCTATGTAATGTTTAAGTGAAGCCATTATGTGTATATGAATTTGTATCTGATCCAATGACAAACTGATCTGTATTTGTATCTATATTTTGTAATATAGCCTATAAACTGAACATGCATCCAATCTAAATAAAAGGCCTAATTTTAAATTGTCAAACTTTTCACCAAAATATATATTTTTTGGAGCACCAAATCAGCATATAAGAATGATTTCTGAAGGATCATGTGACACTGGCGAAGACTGGCGACATGGCTGCCTAAATTCAGCTTTGCCATCAAATATATTAAAACAGAAATCAGTTATTTTAAATTCTAAAAATATTTCACGATATTACTGTTTTTATTGTATTTTAATCAAATAAATGCAGCCCTGATGAGAATAAGATACTTCTTTCAAAACCAGCCTTTCTGGATGGGGTGAGTTTTAAAGTAGAATATAATGGTTTTCAGTGTATCTGAGAGATATTTGAGACATTGAGAGTATCAACAGTGAATTTCTGATTCTGAATGAAGTGAGCTTTGGCCTTTTGGTCACAGTGAATGATGATTTAGGATTATAGGGCATAGGGTCAGATAGGTTGGTAGTACTGAGGTAAAAACATAAAGGCTGAAAATTGAGAATATTGAATAGCTGTTTGGTTTTGGGTTATTCTGATTCTGAATGAAGTCAGCTTTGGCCTTTTGGTCACAGTGAATGATGATTTAGGATTATAGGGCATAGGGTCAGATAGGTTGGTGGTACTGAGGTAAAAACATAAAGGCTGAAAATTGAGAATATTGAATAGCTGTTTGGTTTTGGGTTAAAACCATCATCTGTGGATGCTTAACATGCTTTACACAATTAGGACATGCACAGCAAAATCCCCAGAGTTAAATCAACTCTGCTCAGAGTACATATTGTCCCAATCTACAGAGTGTTAAAGTAACACTGAAGCCGAGTTAAAGTTAATGGGATAATTAAGCAATTAATTATTTGATGAGTGAGCATTAGTAAAGAAAACCCGCTGTTAACAATGTTGAAGATGAACAACTACTGCTCAGGCTTTTAGACATGAAAACATATCACATGATCCTCAACAGTGGTAACTCTGCTTCAGAGTTAATTTAACACTCTGTAGATTGGGACAATATGTACACTGAGCAGAGTTGATTTAACTCTGGGGATTTTGCTGTGAATAAACAACCTTGCAGATTATTCTGGCCAAGACACACCTGCAGGCTAGGTCTGTCTAGCCCACATGAACAGCAAAGCACTCACTGAATCAACCTTGTACCTTCCTCAACTTTATTTCCAGATGGACTAGTGCACAGACTGTTGAAAATTGCATAGAAGCATAGAATTAGATTGACTTGTCTGTTTTGCAATATGCCTCAGGCGGTCAGCATATGTATTGTGGGCAGACTGACTAGGGTAAGAGATTTGATTGACAGAATGTTGATCCCATCAACATGTCTTAGTTGTGTAAATCACATTGGGCTCCTATGGACAGTGCAGAGAACAGTGATTCAATATCTGCAATTTCTTTCTAGGCCTGTTTTGAAAAATCGAATCATCATAAAACATCTAAAGTTGAAAAATCCTGCAGCTGCAGGTTTACAATAAAAGAATCCACTAAACTTTCATTCATTAGCATAACCTGTGCTTAAAATTCAAGACAAAGAATTCCCATGTCGACGCCCTAACCTTTGACCTTCCTGACAATATACACTAACTCAGACTAACTCTTGGTCTTGACCCTCTGCCTTTCAAATCAGAAGCAGCTAAATGAATGCAGTGCGTTTCGGCTAATTAACAAAGACAATACACTCTGATCTCCCCTTTATTTGCATATGATAATACAATTGTCTGAAGCTGAAGTAATAGCTCAATTAAAGCAAGACATAGAAGACCTCAGTTTCTTTACAAGTTTAACTCATTACAGTTATCTAATTACTGCCGGTTAGCGAAGTGTCCAAATTGTTATTGAACCTGGAATGGCTGTGGTCAATGTCGTTGACCAAATACTATTTTGAGTCAGCATTTAAGGGCCTTTACATTGGAGGCTTAAATCATCAGTGTAAGGATTACACAGTAATCCTCTGTGAGTAAATACCCAGCCTGATACATACAGAACGTTATGAATAACTCACTCAGCAAAACTGCGCAACTGTTTTCTAAGAACTGCTAGGATTTCATGTTTTACAGCAAGTGAAATGACTGTCGGTCTGGTAGCGTTCCACACGCAGAATAAAGATTCTCAATTTGTGTGATTTTGTTTCTTTTTCAGCATGAATTGAACACATAAAAGTGTTAAATAATACAATTACATGCAATATATGGTTAAATGCATTGATTTGACAGATTAAACAACAAATTTATCCTTTCCCCCCCAATATATCAGGTATAAGATCTCTAAGTGCATAAATGACCTCTTTACAGATGCTAAGAAATGTAGCTTCTCCAAAATGCATTTCCAGTAATGGCGATAAAATGCCGAGCTGCTGGAAGCTGCTGAACATTTGCTGTTAAGGCTGGATTTGATATGCCGTACTGCTCTTTAAGGACGCTTATTTATCTCTTCATTTTCTGTTTCCACACACACCCCATTTATACTGGCACAATTTAAAACAGCTTTCCTAGATGATCACAGATGTTGTAAACCTTCCATGCCTCGCGTTCAGGAAATACGTCTTTTAAACTCTGCTTATCTGCTGTAGAATGCGATACGCATATAAGCCTGCAATTATGTTGATGTTATTCTATTGTTTTTATGGTGAGCTAATGATATTTTCTTTCCCTTAGCCTCAGGCGTAACCCTTGAGCAAACCTTTTGGTATTTTTTGATTTTTATGAAGACATTATTTATTGTGTTTATTAAGCCGCTTTCTCATGGGGACCGTTAGCTGGTCACCACAATGTTTGTGATAGGTTTAACTATCCTTGTGGGGACTGTTTGGTCCCCACAATGAAGGCAAAATGCAACACTTCATAACCTCTACACACGCTAGCGTTTTCCAGGAATGTATTTTCTTCATCAGGGCTGTTTTCACAAAGCCCTTCTCTCAAACGCACCGGCTTAATGAGCTTTCCTGCTGCCTGAAAGACTACAGACAGAGCTTTTATTCCTTTTCAGCTGGCTAAAGCCATTCCTGTGAAATAAACAGGAATTCAACATCATTCAACGCCACTGCTGTCTCTTTCTTCTTCCTATATGGTAAATTGGAGTGGAAGATCAATCATCTTAACAACAAAAAAGAGTTTCTCTGTTTCACAAGGAAGAAAAATGTGGCATTACGCGCTCATGTAATTTGCAGGATATGGCTCCTTAATGAGCTTTCCTGCTGCCTGACAGACTACAGACAGAGCTTTTATTCCTTTTCAGCTGGCTAAAGCCATTCCTGTGAAATAAACAGAAATTCAACATCATTCAACGCCACTGCTGTCTCTTTCTTCTTCCTATATGGTAAATTGGAGTGGAAGATCAATCATCTTAACAACAAAAAAGAGTTTCTCTGTTTCACAAGGAAGAAAAATGTGGCATTACGCGCTCATGTAATTTGCAGGATATGGCTCTACTGCTTCAGTAAACCCACTAGACACTGTATTAACCTTGGGATGAGAAACTGATCTCCCCCTCAGTGGAAAGTGCTGTAAACTGGTTGAGCTTTTTAATAGCCCATATGCAGACTGATTTATCTCGGCAAGCAGAGATTGAGATAGAATTGGGTTCGGATGAACTCCTCTGAGGGAAACAGGGGGAAGGATGTCTAAAATGTTACATATTTTACTTTAAAATGACGTCACGGGTTTGTCAGCTAAAGCAGGACTGGCAGGCTGTTAGTCAGACGGAGGAGGAAAGGAGAGAGAGTATGTGTGTGAGAGAGAGAGAGAGGGAGAGAGAGAAAGAGAAGCAGTGAGGGTGGATAACGCGCACAGTGGTGACCAGGACTGGCAGGCTGTTAGTCAGACGGAGGAGGAAAGGAGAGAGAGTATGTGTGAGAGAGAGAGAGAGAGGGAGAGAGAGAAAGAGAAGCAGTGAGGGTGGATAACGCGCACAGTGGTGATAACACTATCTATCTATCTATCCAAATGACGAGAGTCGCTTTCACGCGCTCCACTCATCACGCGCGTCCGTGAAGTGATGGTTCATTCCTCACTCTTCTTGTTTTTTTTTTTTTCTCGCGTCACTAATTTATCTGAGCTGTAAAAAGATTGCAAGAACTATCGAAGAGCTTCTTCAGCCGATGTAGGACATGGTTTTGCGCCACGGAAATCTCGATGTTTTAGCTTGCGTGATGGTTCATTCCTCACTCTTCTTGTTTTTTTTTTTTTTCTCGCGTCACTAATTTATCTGAGCTGTAAAAAGATTGCAAGAACTATCGAAGAGCTTCTTCAGCCGATGTAGGACATGGTTTTGCGCCACGGAAATCTCGATGTTTTAGCTTGCGTTTTTGCCTGCGCTCGGTCTCATAACAATGTAGAGAAAGTGCGCGGTGACCGCGAGCGCAGCGCACGGGCGATGTTGACGCTGTCACCTTGCCGTCTGGTTCCCATAGCTTCTTGACTTTTTTTTTCCAGTGGAGTATAATCAAGAGGAACTTGTGAATGTAAAAGAAGGCGGCTGTTGAGAAGCGACTGAACCGTCCAGCTGCCCACGCTGCCGCTGGGTCGCTCTGCACATCCGTGCACACTTCTGAGGAGAAAAACGGCGAGCAACTAAAAAAGGGGACAAGACGCGTCCTTGTTTTTCGTGAATATTTCGCCCAGTCCTCGTTTGGTGCGCTCTGGAGAGACGTGGAGCTATTTCAAGCTTTCTGTTTCTCGGGATATATAACATTAGAATGCTAGCATCCGTAACATTTGGAGTAAGGTGTCTAACTTAAGGTGACCATTACGCTCTAGCGTCGACGTTTGTTGGAACGCATAAATGGACGAATACCAAGAGGACTGATTCGGAATTGTTGTCTGGAAAAATGTGGCTGAAACGGTGTGTCACACGCAGGTAATACATATCCCTTTTGAGATCTCTCAGCTAAGGGCTGAATGCATTAAACGAACATTGCCAAAATCCTGTCATCTGTGAAGAGTTTTGTGGCAAGTTGATGCGCGTCATGCTGTTTTCACTTCTCTTGTTTTGAACGCGACGTCTTACTTAAACCTCACAGCTTTGCGTTGGTAATATTCCCGAGGAAACGTTTTAAGTGATGCTGGTTTGTATGAATAACTAGAGGGCTCGTAATTAACAAGATTGCGAATCGAGTTGAAGTTATTCGCGCAGCGCTCGCTAGGGGTCGCCAAATAACCGCGATGCGATAACCAAAGACTTGACGCGCGCAAATTAGGTCGCGTATCAGCTAAACACACCCTCACATACCACAGTACACCACGCCAGAACAACATTTTCTGTGCGGTCATGACATTTATGCCATTTTATGAATCACATCTCTCACTGTTAGAGTGACATTTTGATCATAAGGTTCAGATGGTGTGCTATTTGTTAGTGGAAAGTCAGGATGAATCAGAATCAGAAAAGCTGTAATGGCCAGGGATTTATTTATGGTTAACAGGAGCTCTTAGCACTTACAGTACATACATAGCAAGAGTAGGATCAATCCAAATCCATTCAATCCAAAACAGACATTCATGTAACAAATCTTTATTATACATTCCGCACGGACAAAAAGTCAGCCAAATGCTAAGTAATACACTCTACGCTCAGGAATTACAACAGCTCATGAGTAAGAGCCATAAAGTGGAAGCACTTTTCATTCAAATGTTCATTACTCTAGTTTCCTAGCATTTATGACCCCCATTCCAAAAAAATATGAAAACTGAGCAACTACAAGTTCTGTTTTTTTAAAGTGGCAGAATTTGACAGATGTCCTTGCCATTACATCTGTTTAGCAGCTGTTCCATGGGCATAATGTGGAGAGCATGTTTAAGGTGGGAATGACGATGGAGCCAGGTGAGCATCATTGTTCATTCTCTACCTGATGTAGGATGCTGCAACATCTTGCATTCACAGGTTCTCCAGAAGATGCTGTCTTACCATAGTCACATACGATAAAGTGCACATTTTACACAATATATTGTTGCATGTTCTGTTTAGATGTGTTCTTACTTTATTAGAGCCATGTCATACGGTCCAGTGGCTGGTTGAGAGTAGTCTTATAGTCAAGTTATTTAGTCAAGACATTTTTTTTTTTACATTTTTCAAATGTAACTCAGAAATGTATCTCATCTTGTTTTTTATGGCTTTTCTCTGTGCTGCTTTGATTTAAAGCATCAATATGAATGAAAGTTCGGGTAATCTAGAAATCAATGCGGTAGGGAACAAAGAATTTGAGCAAAACTGTGAGCAATGGCTATTGGAGTTTAGCAGTGTGTTAGATAAGGAGAAAATTAAGTATGAAACTGCTGGTAAACCAGAGGAATGTTTTCACATCTAGGTGATCTGCTGCTAAAAACACAACTAACTACTACGAATTTAGCCTCCCCCATGCATTATATATATCTACATTATTTTTTTAGCTTTACAATACACAGTGGCAATAAGGCACATGCTTTGTTGCACTCCAGAAAGGTCTAAGGTGGATCGGCTGCCAAGTTACCAGACAGCGGGGAATCTCCCTTTAGCAGTTTGGAAAATTCCTCACTATTGCGAGTAGGCTGAATAGCCTTGATGAAGATCATTAGCCGCATCTCTTAATTGCTCCATCAACTACTTTAATATCTTCACATCAAGGTTATGCATCATCTCACAGCTCCGACGTTCTCTCGAGAGCCTTGATTCTCCAGTGTACCTTGCAGGATTATACTGATGCTCTCATATTAAAACAGTATGGCGAATGGGTCCTCATATGCCACAGACAGGGCATGTATCTCAGTGTCCAGTTCACTGACCTGGAAGCCGTTAGGACAGTAAACAGTGATATGGGAATATGGGGAATATCAGCCCGTGTGCTGACCTGAACAGCAGCTGGTTCATTACGGGCTCTGTCACTGGAAAGAATTAGTTAGTCTCTGCTTTGACACAAGCCGTTGGGTAAATTTTAGTTTTTCGAAATGTTAAAAGACTTAATTTGATCATATTTTTACATTTTCTTCTCCCTGTCAGATGAGGTTCTCTAAGTGCACACTGTACAGCCGTCAATGTCTTAAATGGCAGCACGCAACTATCTCATTACCATGTACACTGTAGCGTGTAATAGCATGACACTTCTGCCATTTTTATACCACTTTTTTCTTGCCGGATGTAAGCTCGCTCGCTCGCACAGTATGCCTGGTTAGTGCGAGGAGTGCTTCTGCTCTCCATTTGACACTCTTGATGGTCTGATATAATGGCAGGACGATTTGATTGCGCCCACCCCCACTTAAACTGTTATGTAACAACGTCTTCAAGGGTTCAATAAGCCTGACATATTGAACAAGTTATAAAAAAGATGCATTTAACATACAGACTCTCATAATCTGTGCATAATATTTGCTGAATGAGATCCAATGCTTGTTTCTTACTAATTTTGGGTGCTGATTCCAAAAATAGTGCTCGTTTTTCACTAGCATTTTCACTAAATATGTAGTAATTTTTGCTTTCGACATTCATTTCTGTCAGGACCACTATCGTCAAAGATGATTGACAATTAGCACACAGTTTGGATTGGCGGTATGGTTCTGTTCTGGGCAAGAGAGCAGCGATAATCCCCCCCCAGGGTAAACAGAACAGAACCAACATAAATGTATTGCAGATATCGTTAAAGTTCAATAATGTTATGTACACATTTTAGAATTAGTCTTATTCAAAGGAGAATCAGAAGGCTGAATCCTGACTGACAGAGGAGGAGTTGGGGATGGAGGAGGGTAATTAGCTATTGAGCAATGCGAAAACTGCTGATAATACTGAGGGAACTTATATATGAATGCTTAGATAGGTGTCGTATTCCCATAGGTTGATGGGGATCAGCTGAGAGTCAGCTGATGCGAGCTTGACTAACGTGACCTGCCAGAGCTAACGCTACGCTAGATTTGTAAAGTGAAGAAGTCTTGTATTATTCCTTAATCACCAGAAAAACTGCCACAAAGACATGATTACTATCTTCCAGGCTACAACTTTGTTCATTTGCTATCCTATTTGTACATGTATGAATGATTCTGAAGACATTATTTTATGCCTAATCCTGATTTCAAGGTTAGAATTATGGCCAGAGAAAGAAAATAATGCAAACATGCTTATTTACTTATTAACTTGTGTTTATGTAAATAACAGCTGATCCTCTCCCCCGAGCAATGTTCTGTATTAGACACAGCTAGAGAGTCGGTTGGTGTGTGTGTGTGTACTTTTTTGTTGTTGTTTACTGTGTTAAAGTGCCACTTGACTGTACTTACTTGACCTACTATAACACACACACACACACACACACACACACACATGTAATCCAGCATTGGATACAGTATGTTATTGTCCATTACGAAATGGACAGCAAACAGTTCCCTTACAGTTGTGCTGAGGGATTTTAGTAATGGGTCTTTAAATGCCTTGTGGCTGTTGAGGCTCTTTTATCTGCAAACTTTTAGTTTGGAAGATCCCTGCAGTACAGATGCAATGCAGATCTTTTCATCCATAATAACAGCTGATCCTCTCCCCCGAGCAATGTTCTGTATTAGACACAGCTAGAAGAAAGAAAATAATGCAAACATGCTTATTTACTTATTAACTTGTGTTTATGTAAAGTTCTTGGCATTAAATGGAGTATTTGAACATATTGTTCCACTCCTTTGCAGACGTCAAGTAAAACTATTTTGATTGTTTTTTTTTTTTATTTAAAATTTTTGACATTTGACTGCTTTTGTTATTTTGATGAGTGCATTAAAGCTAATATATAATTTAAATGAAAACCAAAACATGTTGGGTTTGAAACCAACATAATTAAATGAGGTGATATTACAACTTTTTTTGCAAATCAGCAAAATTTTATTTTTCAAGATGCAGGGATGTGTAATTCCTTTAAGAACCTTTCACATCCATTGCACAAAATGTTCTAGAGAAAAAGTCTCTTCAGATTATTAAACTGTTCTTTACACTAAGCAAAAATGCTTCTTTCTGTTCACTAAAGGTTCTTTGTGGAACCCAAAATGGATGTTCTATGAAATCACTGCATGAACCCCATTTTAGAACCTATATTTTTAAGAGTTCACAGTCAGTGTTACTTGTCCAAGTCGAGTCACCATGGCAGCCGAGTGCCCAGTATCCCTCAGCACTGCCTGTTTAACAGGGCAGAAGTGGCACACCTGAACCACACACACACACACACACACACGCTCATGTAGCACCTTTGTTCAATCAATACCGCTTCTATAAAGCCTCAAATTTATCCGTCATGGCACAAGACCAACAGTGCCTGCTATCCCTCCAGGGCCATGTCTCTCTCCCTCTCCTTTTTTTCCACACACTTCTTGAAAATGAACAGTAAACACTTTTATATGAGTTTAAAAGGACTCTGAGGATTTCTCCAAACATCCAGGACATCTAGGTTTTGCCTGAGAGGAAGTCAATGCCTCTAACTAATGAAACTACACATTTAGTAATGAAGAAGCATATGGTTTCTGTTGTTTAACACTGCATGTACTGCATGCGCACATGCTTTATTGAGCCTGTGGGTCGTGTACACAGTTGTGCTGAGGGATTTTAGTAATGGGTCTTTAAATGCCTGTGGCTGTTGAGGCTCTTTTATCTGCAAACTTTTAGTTTGGAAGATCCCTGCAGTACAGATGAAATGCATACAATCACCTCCATTCTTCCATATGCACCTGATGAATGTTCATATGTGTATTTTGCTTCCGAAACCTCCTTCGGGAAGGGCGGAGCTTCCGTAACGTCCCTGTTCCAAGTAGAATGGGTACGTTTTCTTGTTTACTCCAAAGGCAGTTTAAACCAATTTACCTTGGCTCAACTGAACCCCGATGAGGAATTGGATGTTTTTACTGGATCATTTGTGTATAAATGAC